GACCGGAATGGGGTGGCGTGGGTGGGAGCGAACACGCCCCAAGACTCGCTTAACCGCCCGATCTCGCACTCGCCCCCCTCTTTGCCGCCCTCCGGTTCATTCTCTAGCACTCAGACTAGTTCTCCCCCGGTAGACACCCCTTTCGCTCACACCCAACGCCACCGTTGGTGCTTCATACTTACTCCATGCTTCATCCGCCAGCTCTGCCCATGGGAACTATATCTCATCCGCCAATATCAACAATCTGAACCAGTCGCTTGATCAAAAGATTCTCATCTCTATACATTCTTGCAACCAGTTCCACCCCCAGCGCCCTGCTTCGGGTCTCGACCACGACCATGACTACCACCTCCATCGATCTTCAACAGGCAGACCTCCCTCTCTATAAGTCGAAGCCGTCCCTCCTGGTCCGGCCCACTTGACTCTGGCCGTCTGTCTCGCCCATCCACGGATTAGTTGACCGTCCCTATGTTCACCTCAACTCAAAACGAACAGGATGAAATGATGACTACCCCTGTCTCGTGTCCGCACGGCTTAATTCCCGCTGGAAATCAGCTCATCGCCGGTCTTTGTCCGGATTTTCACGCTGATTAATTCACCCCTCAACCCCCCCCCCCCGGTTATTCGGTCTCTGGAGGGATCCCAGTTTGCTACCATTTAACTTCCCGGCACATTGCCTTTCTCTTCTCTGTTTTGCTGACTTGGGTTGACCAGGCGTGTCTTGTTTTCGTTCCTGGTAAACTTCTTTCCTATTCCCGCCCCCTCACACCCTCCGTGGCCTTCCGTGGCAACCGAGATTTATATTCTAAGAAACTCCGGATCTCAAACCGTCTTCCATGCTTTGTTTTCTTCCCTCCTTTCCACCCCTTGTCATGGTAGAATAGACACGAATTTGTTTTCTTGCTTCTTCTTTTGCCTCGCCACTTCCTGGCTCTCATACAACGCATCCTGACACCAGTCAGACCGACTCTCCGCGGTTAATCCCTGATCCATTTGAATCTGGCCTGGACTCGACCAAATCACCTGTCACACGACATTCGCCCTGCGAACACTTGCACTGGCACACGCACAGCCATCTCGGAGCTTCTTCTCCTTTCGTACATCAGGTTCCAGATACACGACTGCCAGCTCTGCTTTGCAGATCCTCAAGCCTGACGAAGATATTGCACGTGAGCAGCAGCAGCTTCGAATAAAATAAGCCGTTTGTCTGGCTGCTGTGGTCCTTCTTTCCATTCACCTTTAATCCCTTTCCCGGTGCGGTTCTTGGCACCACTGCAGTATCATCATGCTTCCCCCAATCCCAGCTCTGGCGGACTACGGCATATCGCCAGACCATGGGTTTCTACCACCCGAGCCCCCCATTGACGTGCTCCCCGACCCATACTATGCTCGATGGGAGTGGATTGTCTCCAACATCCAGGCCCTCCTGATCAGCCGACGGATCCGAGAGGCGGTGGATCATATGCCCATGCTATCTGTTTCATATCTGCAGGACGACAGCGAGTGGAGGAGGGCGTACGTGGTACTGGTGTTCATGCTACATGGCTATGTCTGGGGCGGAAGCAGGCCCGCCGAGGTTGGTGACACGGGGACCCCTACGAAGTGATACATCCTGAGCTAACGATGGTGGTGGGTATGCAGAAAATCCCTCCCCAATTGACGGTACCGCTATTCGACGTGTGTGATCACCTGGGCCTGCCACCAGTCGCAACATATGCGGGCGTGTGCCTGTGGAATTACAAGCCGATCTTCCCCGACGAACCGGTGGATGACCTGCGTAACCTGGACAGCATCAACACCTTCACGGGCTCCTACGACGAGAAGTGGTTCTACCTGGTGTCGGTGGCGATCGAGGCTCGTGGGGCGCCGTCCATCCCGCTGGTGCTACAGGCCATCGCGGCCGCGCGGGCTGGCAACAGCCTCGTCGTGACCGAGTGTCTGCAAGGATTGGCCGAGGTGATCGACGAGGTGGGCTCCCTGCTGGAGCGCATGTATGAGCACTGTGACCCGTACGTGTTCTACCACCGCATCCGGCCATATCTGGCGGGCAGCAAGAATATGGCGGACGCCGGGCTCCCCCACGGGCTGCTGTACGACACTGGCCGTGGTGAAGCAGAGTATCGGGAGTACGGCGGGGGCAGCAACGCGCAGAGCTCGCTGATCCAGTTCTTCGACATCGCCCTGGGGATCGAGCACCGTCCCACGGGCGAGACCACTCGTCCGGGTGGTACCGCCAGTGACGAGCAGAAGGAGGGGGTGGTTGGGGCGCCCCGCCACGGCTTCATCCAGGAGATGCGCTCGTATATGCCCGCGGCCCACCGCCGCTTTTTGGAGCATGTGAGCGCGGTCGCCAACCTCCGGGAGTACGTGGAGGCGCGTCGCTCGGACAAGGCGCTGTGCATCGCGTACGATGCGTGTCTGTCGATGCTGCGCGTGATGCGCGACAAGCACATCCAGATCGTGTCGCGGTACATCATCATCCAGTCGCGCGACGCCCGGCCGGGCCGGCGCGCCACCAGCCCCAAGCGACCGCCCCAGCAGCAGATGGCGCAGCCGACGAATCTGGCGACCGCCCGCTACGGGGACAAGGCGGACCCGAAGAAGCTGCGGGGTACGGGGGGCACCGCGTTGATTCCGTTCCTGAAACAGGCGCGGGACGAGACGGGCGAGCCAGCCATTGACGCGTGGGCGCGCCGCCTGCTGAGCAACGGGCCATCGGAATCCAGTTTTGCGGCGCTGAGCAAGGTGGGCGAGAACCACGATGGGAATCTCCAGGTGGTGGGCTTGTCGGGGACGTGGGCGGCGGACGATAGTGAGGGAGGGATATGTCACTGGTAGGGTTTTTATCTGGTTGTGCCTTTTTTTTTTTTTTTTTTCGTTTTTACCGTCTTAGCCAGCATTGAGCGATTGATCTCATTATCTCATATTTCATGTTTGTATCTCATGAGCGTGATGGTCGTGTGGGGATTCACAAATTGGTATTATACTCAGTATGTACACCTGTATAGATCGATCGACCCAGAATGAACCACAAACAAGCCTTTTTCCTTTTTCCAACTTGTAACTCCTGATTGTCCCACGTCATGGATGTGCATTTCCGATGTCAGAGGTTCAGTGGTTCCTGGGGAATGACGTCGATGGAGGAAGGGGGGTGGGGGGGGGGAAAGGGGTGGCTTGGGGAGGTGACGTCATTTTGGGGGGTTTTACCCCAGATGAAGCCTTATAAAAACATCACCACCACCACCTCTTGTGTCCTCATCATCAACCACAACACAAACAAACCATAAGCTTTTACTACTACATCCGCATTCCACCCAAGAAGCCCACTTCTATCTCATTCCACGAACACAAATCAAACCACCAAAATGTCCAACGAAAACTCCTCCACTCTCAAGTCCTACCTCGACCAGGCCACCGGCGCTGCCCAGCGCGCCATCGGCTCCTTGACCGGCGACGCCTCTACTCAGGTACATACACCCCCTCCTCTACCCCTTACACCCCAACCTCCCATAATCCAAGAACTAGTACTAAGAGAGAATAGAACCAAGGCGAAGCGACGCACCAACAGGGCAAGGCGGAGAACGAGGCGAGCCACACGACGGCGAAGCTGGGGCCGGTGACGGCGGACCCGGCGACGGGGGCGACGGCGACGGACCACCCGAAGCGTACAGACGGCAGCTGGGACCAGACGGTGGGCGCGGCCAAGGAGTCGCTGGGCAACCTGGTGGGCAACGAGTCGCTGCGCCGCGCGGGCCAGGAGCAGAACGCGGCCGGCAAGCAGCAGGAGGCGGAGGGCCAGCTGAAGGACTGGGGCGAGGGCGTCAAGGGCCGCGTCGAGGGCGGCGTCGGCAAGGTCGCGGCGGCTGTGACGGGCGACGAGGCGCAGGAGCAGCGCGCCAAGGAGGTGCACGACACCGGCAAGGTGCGGCAGCGCGGGGCGGAGGCGGATATTGAGCGCCGGGCTTAGTTCTCTCTCTCTGTGGGGGGAGGGGTGATGATTTATGATATCTTGTAGTCTTAGGGTAATTTATTGCTTTTTCATTCTGATTATCCTTTCATGTAGGTTGAGCTGGGCTAGGGAGTTTTGAAAGGAAGGGGGGTCCGGGGGTTCTCCTCCGGGAAGCCTTAGTCTACTGGTATATGTGGATGAGGTGCATGAGTAGCTTAGTGTATGCATGCACTATGTACGTGTGAAGTATGATTTGCATTATGCATGTGAGGTTAATGTGGGAATCTTGGTGTATACTCTTACTGGTATGTACAATCCAGTAATGTGTCGATGTTGCAATTGTACAGCTATAAACGCAGTATGCGGAGACTTCAGCTAGTTTTCTTTCCGATATGCGGTGGTAGGTTCAAATCTGGTTGAAGAGATATTTGAGGGAAATAGCAGAGATTTAGGGGATAGTATATTGAGGTCGGGCCATTGAGCTTAGGGAATAGCGGCTGTTACAGCTTCAAGGTATTACATGCAAGCCAGAATACGTCCATCGCACTCGACAGCAGGCGCGAACTCGCGTATTCTTATGTCATCTCCTACGTGCGAAACTATCACCCCTGTAGTCTAACAGGCTGGAGATGCAGGGAGCGAGGGCTCCGAGCCCAAGAACTTTGTAGAAAGAGTAGAGTCCGGGTTGTAAAACAGCCTCCATGTATTTGAAGAGCTTGCAGTCTGCCTCTCCATTGCAACGGCAGACTTCATCCACTTCACAAACTTGTCGGACGCGTCTGAGAGTCGCACCAGCATCCACATTTTCATAGATCATGTTGCTCGTTAATCACGACCGCTACGGCATTCCATGAACCTCTCATATAGATAGTACTGCCTGCCTCCATGCGCAACCACAGATTCAGAATACGGGAGCCTTGAGCCAAGAATGGCCCCAGTTATTCATGCACGACCGACAGTATCCCGATTGCGGTAAGCTATGATACCATGTTGAAAGCTTTGCTTGATTTGAATCAAGGCACACGAAAGACAACTGGAAACAGTTGATAGATCAACAAGCCAGAGCGACGAGTAAGTGCGTGAATTTCCGATGCATGGTGACGGGAGGATAGTATAGATAGATAAGCCAGGTAAATCTGCTAAAAAGACAAGAGATCTCACCAGCTGTAGAGTTGATGATGATGCTTTCTACCTCGTGAATGTTGGCTAGATATTGCAAGACCCGAAAATCGCAAAAAACATACAACAGAAGGGATTCGCTGGTGGTCACCCACCCAACTACTAACCTCCCGGCGTGTGGCTTAAGTACGGCTGAGCGGACGGGAAGCCCTGTTTTCCACACCCTGTGGTCGTATGTGACTGAGGGCTAATTTATTTGAATCATACCTTGCGTTACATTGACCTAAAGCTAGAGGTGCTTGGCTCGTTGTCTGTGGTATCAGCCTGTTCTATATTCACTCGAACCTTGTCAGAAAACCTAGGCAAGACTAGTGGAATGCTTGCCTGTCTTCCCTTCATCTTGTTGTCAACCACTAGACATTCGTTATCCTGGACATGCTCTCCCAGCCTTCTCGTTGAAGTCCTTTCGTTTTCCAATTCGATATCCTGGTCCTTCAGTACAGTTCCTCATCTGACCCCAGTCTCTACTTGACATTTCCTTCTTTCGTCTGTTACGCCGCCCAACCAATCTTGGAGGTTATTGGGCCAGAAAAGCAGCCCGAGCCGATCACGCGTGCGGTTGTTCGCAGGAGCATCCCTGGCGGAGACAAGAAAGACTGGAAGAAGGTAAAAGCTCGAATGGACCGGGCGTTAGAGAATATACTGGACCTGAAGGCAGCGCTGGACTTTATTCCTGTCGATGACGACTTCCGCTTCTGCGTGCAGGCCAACATCGAGCGGCTGCCAGAATTCGTCACCCAGGCCTACAACAATGACCGTGAGTCCTGTCTCGGGGATCTTACATCTTATGCCAGGAAACGTTGGCAAAAGCGGCTCTCAGAGACTGCTTAACAGAGATGGAAGAGGGAGCAGGCCGGTGCAGAGCAGCCTGGTCTCAGAAGACGAGTTATAAAATCGCCACTCCAACAAGGAACCAAGCGTGCCAGGACAGCCTCTCCGATCCCGTCTAACAAGCGTGCAAAGCCCGATGAGACAAATGCCGGTGAAACCCTTACCTTGCCGGCTGCGGTGCTAACGGCGGCGGATTCCTATCGGGAAATTTGTCAAAAATGACCCCGTTGGGGTATTTTGGGCTACTATGATGATTCTGTGGAACTTCTGGCGCCGGGGATGGATATTGATCATTTCTGAGAATATGAATATGAAGCCTGCGATCAAGAGGAGCCCGCCAGCGAGTGAATGCCAGCCTCTACAGCGGTCTGCACCCGGCTGTCAACAGCGAGTCTCATGTATCACGAGGACGAGAACCTACCGGTGGACAGTAAATGGCTCTCTGATGTGCTTTTATGGTGAGGTAGCCTGCGCAGCTGAAGTCTAAAGTGATATCTGCGAATACCTCTAGTCTAGTAGTAGATAGGTTCTCTTGTCTGCGTCAAAAGGTTCCCGTTGTCTTAGGCCACGAACGAGAGTATTTTAATCACTCAGTACTTCATGACGAATTTCATAAATAGGAATGAGGTGTCAGAAACCGTTTGGTTCCACTTGTATAGCTAGTCTTGCACTGAGGACAATCTTCTGCGGCGGCGAAACCGCTTTCAAGAGAGACGGCCATGTAATCGGCTGCGCGACTTTTCAGCCATGGAAGGGGCAAATAGCACATCCCAAGTACTGTAGCCCCGAAATATTCCAGGTGACTATCTGATTAATTCCTCTAAGAAGGCCGTCAGGCAGGTCGTCTGAAGAAAGCAAGCCTTTCCTATCCCTTCGCATGGAGATATGGATCTGCCTTTCGGATTGTATATCGTTTGGAGTATATCATCGATATCATTGCAGCATCCTATATTCTTCATCCGCGGTCTTCTATCTTTAATTGTGCAGAGAAATGTTTTCAATTGGGGCCACTTCAAGTGAAGACTCAGCGACGGCAGACTAGAACTAGCATCATGCAGGAGCTAGCAATAATCGAAATTCTGTGCTGTCTCCTGGTAATTGCCTCAATGGCCAACTGATAAGACGTGGAGTAAAGAAGGGCTATTAAGCCTTATTCCTTGTGCAAAGTTACGACTAAGATGCGCCTCCAGGGTGTTGATTGAAGCACAAACGGGTGCGCACTAAGAGGTTAGCAATTTGTGTCTCCATTTTTCTGTGTGCAGCAAAATAGCAGGAGAAAAAGAGTTACTGGCATACTTGGCCTCTGATTGTAACCAAGTTTGGAGTCGTCTAGTCAATAGTTTCTAAATTTCTGTGCTCTGTCGGGGTCAGTGCAGCATCGATGGGAGCATCGATGGGAGGCGGGGTTTATTTCCGTTGATAGAGCCTCATTATTTACTGACTCAAAGTAATGAATCGCAATTGAGCCAATTATGAGAGAACCGATTTGAATTATGGCTAGAAGGGGTTCACTAGTAAAGAAATTCATACAACAAGAGCAAAGATCATGATAAGAAAGAACAATCGGGGTGAATCAACCGACCCACAGCAGCAGTATGAGATCATCACGCCTCCGCTCCCCTCTTCTCCCTCGGTGTGCTCGTATATAAGTAAGTGAGTTCCACTCCTCGCATTGCTTTCTTCCACTCACTGCACTAACCTTAGATTCACTACATCCTTCATCTAGAATGGCAGCCCTCAAAGGTCGACGCTCAACCTACAGCCTGAACTCCGGCCATGAGATTCCCGTTCTAGGATATGGAGTAAGTCTTCGCCCTCTTTCTCCCCCCTCCCCCCTCGGTTATCACTACCACACCACTAAACCGCAGAACCCGTGACAGGTCTACATGATGTAAGTCCATTCCTGCTTCAACTGCATGCAAACGGCGCAGCGCTCACTCTGCCAAAGCCCCCAGTCCCAAACAGAAAAGGCCACCCTTGACGCACTCAAAATCGGCTACCGTCATGTATGCATGCACCTTTCCCCACGCTTCTCGCGCCCCAGAGCTCAATCTAACGCGCTTCCCTACAGGTGGACTCAGCAATTATGTACCGCAACGAGAAAGCCTGCGGCCGCGCCATCGCAAACTCCAGCCTCGACCGGTCGGAGATCTTCTTCACCACCAAGATTCCCCCGGAGAAGATGGGCTACACTCGCACCAAGAAGGCTATTGATTCCAGTCTGCGCGAGGCTGAGCAGGAGTACTTTGACCTGTGAGTTGTCCACACACCACCATCTCCCTCGACCAAGTATCGCTGGGATCGCGAGAAACTGCAGTGGAAGAAGATTAACAAGGATAACAAGCATCCTTATTCACGCCCCCTACGGCGGCAAAGAAGACCGTCTAGGCTCCTGGCGAGCGCTAGTGGAGGCCCAGCAAGCGGGCAAGACGAAATCCATCGGGGTGTCCAACTACGGGGTCCACCATCTGGACGAGCTGGAGGAGTACATCAGGAATAGTGGCGGTGGGCAGATCGACGTCGGACAGTACGAGTTGCATCCCTGGTGTGACCGCCCCGAGATCGCCGAGTGGCTCCAGAAGCGCAACATCGTCGTCCAGGCCTATTCGCCTCTGGCGCACGGGACGAGGATGGGCGAGCGAGTACTCAAGGAATTGGGCCAGAAGCATGGCAAGTCGCCAGCGCAGATCATGATCCGGTGGGGGTTGCAGAGGGTAAGTCATGGAACGAGTCGAGTCTCTCTCATTGTTGCCATGTATCCTGGTCGAGTCAGTGCTAACATGCGACCTGTAGGGCTTTGTCCCCCTTCCCAAGTCGGTGACACCCAGTAGGATCAAGGAGAACGCCGAGGTGTTTGATTTCGAGCTGTCAGAGGAGGATATGAAGGCATTGCAGACGGGGGTCTACTCGCCCACGGACTGGGATCCGACGGTGGATTATGATTAGACAGCTGTGTGCATGAGATGAGCATACCCCCAAAACCAACTTTCATGGAAGGACGATAGTCTATAGACATGATAGACCAGACTGTGAGGTTGCTATCATAAAATGTACCGTACAGACAAGAGAGTAAATGAGAGTAAATGTAACTGAGCGGGCGGGCCGAGTCGCAATCGCCGATCGGAACCTGGAGGGCCGCCGTCCAGAATTTAACCCCGCGGCGCGGGGTTTGGCTGCTTAGCAATTCATTCGCATTCGTCCGTTATCTTCCTCCACCCTCTTCGCATTTCTCCAATCCTTCCAAATTCTCATTCCCCTCTTAACTCCCACCCCCTTGCATCAGAAGTCCCTGCCCTGCACATATTGCAGGGTGCTCATACATCCATCACCATGAAACTCATCCTCTCCACCTCGTAAGTGGCAACCGCAGTGGAAATCCCGACACTCTCTCCTCCTCATTCCACCATCGCCCCGGGAGGAAAAAAAAAAAAGACAAAAACCCCCAGTCCACCAACTCAACCAAACTAACATACTTCCAGAAATCTGATGCTAGGCGGTCATCCCATCATCCGCCAACTGACTGAAAAGTCCAATGTCGAACTGATCAACTCCCTACGTGCCAACTTCCAAGCCGCGCAGCAGCAGCAGCAGCAACAGCGCAACGACGAGGCCACGACGACAACGACAACGAAAACCGAGCACGGAGTACCGCGCTACGCATCGTGGACGAGGCAACACGACGACACCCTATACATCCCATCCACGGACTGCGGGTACGGGCTGTCTGAGGAGCGGTCGGCGTACGACATCACCGTCAAACTCTTCTACCTGCCGGGGATCCCGGCGTCGCGGCGGTGCGCGCACACGCGGGAGGCGATCGACCTCGTGCTCCGGGAGCTGCACGTCGACTCGATCGATCTGCTGATTGTCTCGTTTCCGGGGATCTTGTTCGATGCGGACGACGACAGCGAGGTGGAGGAGGACGACGAGAACGCGGGGTCGTCGGATGCCGGCAGCGAGGAGGATGATTTCGACAGTATCATCCAAACGTGGCGCACGCTGGAGGGGCTGCACGAGCAGGGGATGATCAAGCAGCTGGGCGTGGCGGAGTTTGGCAGCGAGCGGCTGGCGCGCTTCCTGCCGCACACCAAGGTCAAGCCGTCGGTGGATCAGATCAACCTCAAGGACTGCTGCGTGGTGCCCAAGTCGTTGATCCTGTACGCCAAGCAGGAGCGGATCCAACTGCTGACCCACAACGACTGCATGGACATCTTGCCCGTGGGCACGACCCGGGAGCTGCTGGGGCCCGGCGCCAAGGGCGCGGGCATCCTCGCTTCGGCGCCGGACGCGGACGATGGCATCCAGGGCGACGTGGCGCCGCAGTGGGTGGTCAAGTACACGGCGGTGGTGAAGGATCGCGGGGTGGTGGAGAACAAAGGCTACTTTGCGCTGGCGGACGTGGGCAGCTGCGTCAAGCCGTGATGTGATGATATTTGTATCTATCTGCAAGCATTCCACGATTTGCATGGGACAGCGCGGCGTTTCTTTTCTTGTTTTTGCGTTTATTCCCTTGAAACCTAGTGATGATGAATGAAGCATTGTTCTATCCATTCCCTCTATCCTCATCAAACCAGTCCCCACCACACAAAGCAACCCCCCTCCCCTTTTCAGGTAAACGAAACAAGCCTCAGCCCAACATACTCTTCTTCCTCCCGCGCAAGCGCACCTCCTCCAAGCGCTTCAACACCGACGCAGCCCCGCGATAACTAGCGCGATACCCCTCCAGCACCTCGGCAAAGAACGCCTCCGTGCGGGGATGCGTACTCCCAAACGCGCGTTCGAGCACATACAAATCCACCGCGCGATCCTCATCCTGAACACTCTGACTCGCCAGGCCAAAATCAATGAGCACAACCTCACCCTCCAGATCCACCTCGCCTGCCCCCTTCCCCTCCCCGCTCTCCTTCTTGGGCCGCAGAATGAGATTACTCGTCGTCAGATCCCCATGAATCACCCCGGCCGCATGCAGCCGGCCGACAGCGGCCCCGATCCGCCGCAGCAGATCCTTCATCCGCTCCTCCTCGCGCTTGCGCTCCACATGCCCGTTGTCGCCATGGTCGCCATCCACCTCCATCTCACCGTCTGCCTGTCGCCGCCGAGGGTGCTGATCTTCCGCCGCGAACCGCGCCAGCATCGCCCGCTCCCACGCCCGCACCACCACCCGCACCACGTCGCCCTCCACCCACTCCATCAGCAGCCACGCCCCGCCGTACCGCTCCGCCCCCGTGGCGGCGTCGACGACGACCGTCTGCCCCTCCCAGTCCACGGCGTACAGCGCCGGCACCGCCACCCCCTCGCGCACGAGCTTGGCCAGACACCGCGCCTCCTGGAGGATGCGCTGGCGTGTCAGGCGCCGGTCGAGAATCGGGTGGCGGTACGGTTTGGAGGGCCGGATCTTCAGGGCCGCCGGGTGGGTGGTCGCGTTCAGGTAGTGCGTTTTATAGAGATGGGCTTCGGCGCCCTGCGTGAGGAGGATCGGCGGGGGTAGCGTTGTAGTGCTTGTGGTGGTGGTAGCTGTTGATTGTGTGCGGTGGTTGTGGTGGTGGAAAGGCGGGGGGAGAGGTGGGGGTTGGTATTCTTGAGTCATCGTGTTTGTTCTTGATCGGTGGGAGGTCGGTCGAGTTCGGTGAGTTCGTCTGAGGATAAAGAGGGTCGTAAGAAGGTATGCGGACAGGTGGGTAGGTCAATTGATGACGAGTTGGTGGTGAGGTGAAGCGAGAAAAAGATTAAGGTAGGTTGAAGTTGTATAGGCAGTGGCAGAAGAGGAACGGCCATGTGAAAAGTTCTGGCGGGGCCCTTTTCCCTCCCGCCGCGGTTATTAAGCGCTGTCCGCATTTGGCTGTCAACTACAGCACTACAGCACTACAGCACTACAGCACTACAGACTACTGTACACATGTAGACCATCTATGCTGTTATGCTGTCGACACGCAAATTTGCTACTGCTGCACTCACTACTCTCAGACGCCCTTAAATCAAGCAATCATCCATGATATCTTATTCAGACTCATTGAATCGTCTTTCGTCTGCTCGTAAAATACAAGACAGCCGCCTACCTCGCGGTAATCGCTAAATCATGACTGTACAGACACTACTAAACGCCTGGTATGCGACCGACTTTTCCATGTCCAGAATCAAATCCCTTTTATACAAGCCTCCTCCCGGCCTCAAGCCCGCCCCTTGCGCTTCGCCCGCGCCCGCTCCAGAGGTACCTCGTAGACATCCGTCCACGCGTCTTCGAACGTCGTCTTCCTCGGCCCAATCTGGCCCTCGAAGAAGTTCATCTTGCGCACAACTTCCATGGCCCCGGTACCGAGCGACACCGTCTTACCCATGATGATACACTCGGACACACCCTCGATCAGATCCGTCCGGCCGGCACCACCAGCATCGAACAGATGATCGGCGGTCTTTTCGAAGGACGCCAGCTGCAGGACCGAGTCACGCATCTTAGCGAGACCGAATCGCGTAATACCCAAAACTTCACCCTTGTAGGTCATGACGTCGGCCAAAAGCTGCATGTGTCGGGGATCGATGTCCATGTCCTTCATGACCTCGCTGATTTCCTGGACGATCGTCGACCGGGCCGCTTCGATACCAAGCACTTCGCGCATCTCCATAATGTTATTGGTGGTCGTGCGAAGGCCGTCTACACCCATCGTGGTCATACACGCCCTCAACCCGTAGCCTTCCACCAGAAGGGTGTTGGTAGTCGACGTCTCATCCGTTCGAATGATCGCACGGTAGGCCTGGGGGTGTCCAAGCACCTGGATATCAGGAAGCATCCGCTTCAGGTGCTTCAACCGCAGGAAAGGATCCGCACTCGTGTGCGCAATCTCAGTCTTAGATAGAGATGCTTTGCTAGACGGCTCAACATCCATGTAGACGTGGATGTGTGAGCGCGAGCATCGGAACTTGAGATCGTCCGCCTTGAACCGCTTGTGGCTCTTGATCGCAGCCAGAATGTTATCGATCTTCAGCTCCAGCGCCAAATCCTGGATAGTCTTCCAGTTGATCTTGACGGTAATGTAGGCTTCCTTGCCGGTCCATGTCTCGCGAACATAGTGGATAATGTCGCGAAGATAAGTCTGCTCAATACGACCCTTGACAATACGGGCGGCAATGATGTTGTCCTTAGTGACCAGCTCGCAAGCAACGACAGGCGTACTGATCTCCTTGGAGGCGTTGATAATTTCCTTGATACGGGGGACACCCTGAGTGATACTCATACCGGCAACACCAGCAAAGTGGAAAGTCTTCAACGTCATCTGCGTACCGGGTTCACCGATAGACTGCGCACCAACGGCACCAACAGCATGGCCGGCTTCAACCTGAGCCTTCTTGTACTTCATCAAGCACTCCGTGATGAAAGTCCGCAGGGTGCGCTCAGTCAACTTGCCCGTGTGGTTCAAACCCTTTTGACTTCTTTCATCAGACGGATCGTTGTCACCGCCGCGAGAAATCAGCTTTTCCGCCTTGGTCGCAACGTACTGCTGAATGGACTCGAGGAAATCACGGGCACTCTCAAATTGGTCAATGCCGTGATCACTGCGGTCCATGTAAGCCAGAGTGTTGCCCATCAGATCCTTCCGCACCAGCTTGGCGCGTTCTTTCGACAGCATCTCCTCGCAGACTTCCATGATTTCAGCAGGAAGCAGACTCGGCTCTTCATTCGAATAAGTAATGGATTCGGAATGGATGAAAGTCCGGTCAAAGTGAACGGGCTTGGCCTTGCCCTCCATATCCACCGGATCCAGCTTGTCATCACCATACTGGAACTGAACAATCGCTGCGGACGAGTTACGGACGGTATCATCGTATCTGGTGGAAAGATCTTCCAAGGACTTCATCAACCGACGAGACATATAACCGGTTTCGGCCGTCTTGACGGCAGTATCGACCAGACCTTCACGACCGGACATGGCGTGGAAGATGAATTCCGTAGGGGTGAGACCCGAAAAGAAACTGTTCCGCACGAAACCCTTCGATGGAGGCTGACGGGCATTCTTCGGGAAATGAGGCAAGGTTCGGTCTTGGAAGCCGTCCTGCACACGTTGGCCACCGATAATCTGCTGACCGACAAGGGCAACCATCTGAGACACGTTGATGCTAGAACCCTTCGATCCGGACGTGGCCATGATCAAAGGAGAGTTGTACTTGCTCAGTTGAGCGATACACTCGTCACCAGCCTGCTGACGGACCTTACTGAGAATACCAGATAACTGGTTCTCCATAGTTTGCAACTCGTCACAACCAGGATACTTCTCGAGCGTACCGGCCTTGTACTTGGCAATAACTTCGTCACAGGCTGCGTATGCAGTCTCGACCAGGTCGTGTTTCGAGCGCAACAGCTTCTCACTGGGATAAACGTCGGTGATACCGATGGAGAAGCCCATGTTTGTGAACCAACGGGCCGACAGTTTTGACAAGCGGTTCATACCCTCGGCAGCCGCCGCTGGACCGTAATCTCTCAGCATGATATAGAACACGTTGTCCTTCTTTCCGGAACCGATAGTGGACTTATCCATCACACCACACATGACCTCGGAGTTACGAATGACGAGCCAACCATCCTTGGGGTCGAGATCCTTGGGTCTCCCATCCTTTGGCATCTTGAACTCTCTGCAGGCGGCGTCCAGGTTGACCAAGCATGGGTCATCCTTGTTGGGCCGCATGAGGATGTTGAAGACTTGCTTTCCAGTCCACAACATCTGGGGTTTCAGCACGGAGGGAGGGGGAAGATCGAAGCGGGTTTGAGGGCCAAGCATGTAAAGACAGATCTGGGTGAATGAGCGACGGTCGAAGAAGTTGTCCTTGCTACTGAGGACGTAAGCAGCACTGATGAAATCCTGAATAGCGGAGATAATAGGCTCTCCGTTCTTGGGCGTAGCCAAGTTGTTCTTGACACCCATAAGTTCCATGGCTTCAGCGCGCGCTTCTTCCGTCTGGGGAACGTGGAGGTTCATCTCATCGCCGTCGAAATCAGCGTTGTAGGGGTTGCAGACACATTCGTTGAGACGGAAAGTCCGGTGAGGGCGGACTTTCGCAAAGTGGGAGAGAATACTGAGCTTGTGCAGGGACGGTTGGCGGTTAAACAGAACAATATCACCATCCTCAATATGACGCTCGATAACATCTCCCTCCTGGAGCTGGTCGGCAATCATGTTCAAGTTACCATACTTGAGGAAGAGCTTGAACGTCTGGCCCTTCTTGGTGATATAATTCGCTCCAGGCCACTTTTTCGTTCCGTTCCGAACTCTCTGCTGCAGCTTCTCTTTGTTGTAGCGAGTCACAACTTCCGGGTAGGTCATGTTCTTCGCCACAAGCTCGGGAACAGCGACCTCGTCGACGCGCAAATTAGGGTCGGGAGAAATGACCGTACGACCGGAGAAGTCGACACGCTTTCCAGACAGGTTACCACGGAAACGACCCTGTTTTCCCTTCAAGCGCTGGACAAAACCTCGAATGGGCTTTCCCAGATCTGCCTTGTTCAGACCCGGAACGTCACTGTTGATGTACACGGCAATTTGCAGCTGCATGTAGTCCCAACACTCCATGATGGTCTGCACAGGCGCACCCTTCAGCAGCGCATTCTTGAGGTTGATGTTACTCTGGACGATATCTCCCAACTTGGCAGTCAAGTCGTCCTCAGTGGAGGCCGCGTCTTGACCAACGGAAGGACGAATACAGACTGGGGGAGCAGGGATGAACTGCCAGAGAAACATCTCCGGTCTAGCCTCCTTCGGATCTAAACCCAGCAATTCACAATCCGTATCGGAGATCTTCTTGAACAGGTTCAGCACGCGCAGGGCGTTCATATCATCCTGAGCCTTCTTGTAATGCTTTTCGACCTCGGCATTTGATGTACGCGCTTCGTCGAAAGACCGGTCAAAGACAATCTTGCTGGGCGGGGGCACCTTCTTGACGGAAGTCGAGGCGTTGAAGGCACGGAATTTGTCGTGGGTGATCTTCAGCGCGCTGGTACCAGCCTTCTTGACCACACCGTTCACGGCACCGCAGTTCTCGCAGTTGCGGGTCTTCTTGCACCGCTCGTTGATCCGCTTCGCAATCTGCATCCGTCGCAAGTTGTCCAGGCCGGGACGACGCATTTCGCGGAGGAAGGCACGGCGATCGGCTTCGGGGAGGAGAATGTGGGAGCATTCTTTGCATATTTCTTGGAGAATGGTGATGACTCGCTTGAAATAACCGACGTGGAAGGAAGGCAGGACGAGCCTGACGTGACCGAAGTGTCCGTTACAGACTTGGAGGGCCCCACCACAGGTTTGACATGTCGAGGTCTTGTTCGAAATACCCATGCGCGCGTCGAGGGGGCCATTGGCGACTACGGCTCGGTCGTGCTCGAGATCAAAGAATTTCCGGTCGGAGACTTCCACCACACCTTGGCTGACGATGTCGTCGTTGGACCTTCGTAAGACAGAGTCAGCATCCCCTCTCCAGGTTGCTTCCGCGACACACGAAGACGAGGCGGGGAGGGGTGAAACAAGAATGAGTTAGGAACCTCAGAGTTACTTACAGGACACCGAACTTCAGTTCCTTGATAACTTTGGGGACGCGGTCAATGACCTGGGCCTTGCCCAGGTCGACCTGCACACCTTCTGGAGGCTGCATCACGGTGGTCAAATGATGATCATGGCAAGATGACAGTGACTCAGCGGAAATGGATGCGACGGCGCTGGAATGGGTGCGCTCGCAAGAAGTAATCACCGCAGTAGTCGTGAGGAAAACTGTCAAGTCAAGCGGCACGCCACCTCAGACCAGTGGGTAGGTAAAATCGGAGAAAAGACGGCGACGACGGGAGGAGGGGGGAGAAATTGCAGACCATTGCGGCGGCGGGGTCGGCGACGACGAACTTTTCTGCGGTTAAATTGGAAGCTCCGTCCGAGGCCAGCTTCCCCCGGTCCGTCCAATCACAGCGCGCGGATACGGCTGCGGCATTCTTCACTCTACTCAGTCTACTAATTATTACTCGGTAAATACCTGTGCATTTATACCGTGGCCATCATGGATTGATGGAATGAAACAACACGTATATATGGTATAATCTATATGCTGAAAACTATGGTACAGTTCATCTCAAGCCCACCCTGCTGTTGCTGCCTTATTTCGACAAGAAATTCTGGAATGCCTTCTGTTCAATCACCACATTGCCCACAGCCCGGAGTCTCTTGCGACCCTCCTTTTGCTTCTCCAACAGTTTGCGGCGTCGACTGACATCACTAGCATGAAGCTTGGCCAAGACATCCTTCCGGTAGGGCTTCACGGTCTCACGAGCCACGACCTTGCGCCCAACAGCCGCCTGGATAATAATCTCGAAGAGTTGGCGGTCCACATGCTCCTTGAACTTCGTCACCCACTGACGACCAAGTCGATCCGCTTGGCTGTAGTGGACGATGCGAGCGACAGCATCTACAGGGGCTTTGTTGACCAACAGCTGCAGCTTGACGATGCTGCTCGGTCTCCAGGCCGACTCTTCGTAATCCAGCGAGGCATAGCCCTTCGTGTTACCCTTGAGCTTACCAAAGAAGTCGTCGACCAATTGCGCCAAGGGAAGTTCGTACTTAAGAATGACCTGAGTGGACGTGAAGTACTCGAGGCTCTTCTGTTCTCCACGGTTGTTCTCACAGAGTTCGATGACCTTTCCAAGGTACTCATCCGGGAAAGTCAGTGTAGCCGTAACGTAGGGCTCGTGAAACTCCAGAACCTTCGCACGTGCTGATTCGTCGTCGGGAAATTTGGCCGGGTTGCTGATGATCTCCTCTTTGCCGTCCTTGTATACAATCTTTACGGGAACTGACGGAGGAGTAATGATAATACTGGCTCCGTGCTCCTGGCGCAGACGATCCTCGAAAACAGAGCAGTGAAGAGTTCCCAGGAAGCCCAAGCGGAAACCGGCACCCAAAGCCTCTGAGGACTCCTTCTGCACTGTGATACTTCTGTCATTCAACATGAGCTGGTTGATACTGTCCTCCAAGTGCTCGAAATGATCTGCATCAACAGGGTAGGCGGCCACGAAAACCATCGACTTGGGTTCTTCAAAACCCGGTAGCGGTTCCACGAGCTTTTCCGATCCCACTTTCGTGTACGTATCACCGATCTTGGCTTCCTTACTCCGCTTCATGCCCGGGTTGAAGTAGACGTAGCCAACTTGGCCAGCACGAAGCACGGTCTGTGGGGTCTCATTCGGGTACATGATACCGACTTCACCAACGTAATACTTGAGTCCGGTAGCAAAAGAAACAAGCTGATCTCCCGCTCGGATCTCGCCGTCAAACACACGGACCAAGCAAATCACGCCCTTGTAGGAATCGTACCAGGAATCGACGAGGAGCATGCGCAGGGGCTTGGTGAAGTCACCGACAGGGCTGTTTAGGTTAGTTCGGATCATCAGCAAGAAAAGGGGCCAGGGATGCATACGCTGGAATCTTATCTACGACCGTAGGAAGCAACTGTTCCACGTTGAGACCAGTCTTGGCCGAGACCAACACTGCGCTCTCCGTGTCCAGCTCGAAAGAATGCTTCATTTGCTGCAGAGCACGCTGGGGATCGGCTGAGGGCAGATCCACCTTGTTGATGACGGGGATCAACTCCAGACCCTGTGAGAAAGCGAGATAGAAGTTGGCAACGGTTTGCGCCTGAATGCCCTGACTGGCATCAACCAAGAGCAAGGCGCCTCCGCAACTGGCGTAACTGCGCGAGACCTCCGCACGGAAGTCCACATGGCCCGGGGTATCGACAAGATGGAGCAGGTAATCCTCTCCCTTGTGGTTGTAGATCATCGTACATGTCTGCGCCTTAACCGTGATACCACGTTCCCGTTCCACATCGAGCTTGTCCAGCACCTGCTTGTTACTTCCAGGTTGGATCGTCCCCGTCAACTCCAGCAACCGGTCGGACAGTGTGCTCTTTCCATGGTCGACGTGGGCAACGATACAGAAATTGCGGTATCGATCGATCGGGATAGCGGCGATTCTGTTCTCGAGATCCGATTTATGGACAGCGGAACTTCTGGCGGAGCGTGATGCGGAGTTGGCGAAAAACCGAACGGGGGAAGAAAGGCCGAATGGCGGCTGGAATAGGCTAGCAGCAGAGCACTTTGGCGCTGCGCTCAGCCACCTGGCTAACTGCAGGCATCCTCGCATCGGGAGGTCTGCACTTGCATGGGAGTGAAGCGTTTGATGGTGGGGGAGGGAGGGTATGAGTTGGTCAGTGAGCGAGATCTTGCGGGCGGGAAAAAAAGGACGGCTTTTGCGGAGACGCTCGATTTGCGCGGGCGGTGGACTGAATTGCCGCGGCGACAAATGGTGTGTAAACAAAGCATGGTTAGCCCGTCACTTTTTCCACTGCATCTGCATCTCTTGCCCCTAACTTACAGCATCCGAAAGTCCCTCTCGTCCTATCGTCCTATACCACTATGTCGGCTGCAAAGGATAAATCCAAGGTTCACAAGCTGTCCTTGAAAGGTACGATTCTACGATTCATGGCCTCCTAAGACAGACTAGTGCAGCACGCTCACGGACAGATAGGATCGGCGAAGCTGGTCGCAGAATTCGTGAGTACTTTACCAAGTGATATGGCTTTTCGGTTTCGATATCTAATATACATAGTTTGAATACTCCATCAATTCTATTCTGTAAGTGTCTGTTTGATAATGGTCTAGCCTACATCGCCTATTGACATTTTCGACCAGTTTCCAGCGGGGTGTGTATCCTCCGGAGGACTTCACTACGTAAGTCCAACTCTACCCGAACTCATCGAGGAACCTCTTTCTAACTAAATCTTTCTACAGGGTTAAGAAATATGGCCTCAACATGCTCGGTTGGTCTACCTCTTTCAATCTATGCCCTCGATCCCTCCATTGATCAAGCCCAGTCACCTCCGACGACCAAGTCAAAGCCTACATCAAGAAGATTATGTCGCAATTGAACAAGTGGATGATGGGAGGGAAAATCTCCAAACTTGTGGTTGTGATCACAGACAAAGAGACTGGGGAGCACGTGGAGAGATGGCAATTTGACGTACGCCTAAGGTCTCCCTCACCAAGCATACGAAGACTAACCGGGAGCACCAGGTCCAAATCTTCGGCAGACACTCCAAGAGCCACTCTTCCAAGTCGACTGGCGACAAAGAGAACGCTACCCCCGGGTACAGACTAGATCCTTCTTTCCAGATTACACCAGCTAACCAGCACCCTCACAACAGCGACAAGGAACCCCAACCCGCCACCGTGGAGAAGACCGAGAAGGAGATACAAGAGGAAATCCAGGCGATCTTCCGGCAAATCACCGCCTCCGTGACCTTTCTGCCCGTGCTCAACGGATACTGCACCTTCAACGTCCTGGTGTACGCGGACGCCGACTCCGAGGTCCCCGTCGAATGGGGCGACAGCGACGCGAAAGAGATCAAGAACGCGGAGAAGGTCCAACTCCGGAGCTTCAGCACGAACAACCACCGAGTCGAGACTCTAGTCAGCTATCGCCTGGCTGATTGATTGAGATTCCTTGTTTTTTGTTTCTTCTTTCAAACGGCGTTGTGGGAATGAGAGGAAGGCGGAGTAGCATCTGGGACATTTGACATACACATTCTTCGGGGACCTTCATACATCAAACCCATGTATTCTTTGCAAAATCGCACACAATGAACGACTTTAATGAGCCAGAGCACTCCTTCAGCGACCTCCTATCGCTAACCGTACCAAGGCAATTCCTCCAATCTATCGAACCACTCATTCCCATTCCTCCCTCCCTTCCACCGAACCAACGCCGCAACCACCCCCTCCAACCCATCGACCATCCTCAAAACCCCCTCCTCCATCCCCACCGTCCACCCTCTCGCCACCCTCTTTCCCCCCAGCACCCACCCAACCCCATACCTATCACCCCTCCACAGCCCAATCCCCCTCTCCTCCTCCCCGGCCACCAACTCCCGCAACGGCGTCACCTCCTCCGGCGGATTAATGCCCACGACCTCGACCGCGACCCTCGATTCGACGCCTCCCAGCCCGACCGCCGGAAAATGCACCTCGGCGAACCGCGCCCGCTTGAACGCATGCGTCACCACCGTCACCCGCGTCGGGTAGCGGCCTGCCACAGCCCGGAACCGGAGCAGTGAGAACAGGACATTCTGGTAGGAGTCCGTGGCGAGGTTCTCGGCGACGACCCGGGCGGGGTGGATGGTCGGGGCGAGTTGGTAGTAGTTGTTGGCGCGGGCCAGGTTCTAGTTGGTTTGTTAGTATGTATGTGACAGTTGGGCTTGTTTGCGTGAGTGTGTGGGGCTCGTCGGTTCTTGCTTCTTTTGCTTTTCTTGGAAGCATCGTTGTATTATGGAATGAATTATGGGCACAACCCTGATCAGGTGGATAGAGCCGGGTACTGTACTATAAGCTAGGCAGGAACTTACAAGATACGATTCTCCTTCCGCTAGGGCCGTGTGGGTTGGTTTCGTGGGACCTCTGTATATATGTACACCCGTCATCCCGATCAGTTTGATTCCCATATGTCCCCTCTTCTCTTGGAGACCGCCTAGCCCAGATTGAGGGTACTCTCCGGCGGGGGGATCATGATAGAGATAGCGGGGTTAGGTGGACATACCCTGAGAACACAAGCAGACTCTCCGGATCCTGTGCTGCAAGACGGAGGCCCGCCTTGACGTGTGCGGTGAACGTGGGCGTTTCGCCCTTCTGGAAGGTTTCGATTTCCCTTCACAGTGTCAGTTTGCGGAGCTGGGACCCTTACACGAAGAGTCAAACAGAAGTTCAGACGTAGTGTACAACACTGACCATTCGTCCTCGGAGAGGCCGTGGGTTGGGCCACCCTTGTATATGGCGTGGCAGCAGACGATGATTAGGTGGGTGAGTGGGTGGGTCATCATCGGGGACTTGGTGCAGTGGTGGAATTGCGTTTCTGTTGCAGGTTTGGGAATTGAGATAGAGGTGGATGATAGAGAGGCTTGGAGACTACTCTACATAGCAGGCACGCAGTTGATACAGCTACATACAAACAAATTAAAGCACTTGACTGACCGATCGGGCGTGAGTGTATTACCTAAGCCGATAATCTCGGTGGCTACCTAGTATACTACTCAGCTGGACTGGCTCTTGACAAATCTGACCAGGATAGTGAGTGATATTGATGTTGGTCGAAGCATGTACGAAGGGAGAAGCTTAGGAGCAATCTCTAACAGACCGAATTCATCCGATTGAAGCTGGCCTCATATCGATAATCTTCCAGCTAAACATCATTAATATACATATCGATCTGATTTAAAAACCATACATCCGTATATGACTGTGACCCAGCCGAGCAATGTGAACGATCCGATGGAAAGGTAGGATGGTGATGCAGAATAGGAAAAAGAAAACAAACAAAATAACCACGAAAGAATGTCATCCACGATCAACAAACTCCATGCGAATCCCATGTATGATATGCAATCACAGAGGTAACTATGGTATCATGTCATCAACACACAGATGGTTGCAAGGAAAACCAGCTTGCCAGACATAATGACGCCGAGAATTGGCAGCAGCAGAGGCGTATGCAGGGGTACAGTGTACATTTGAAAGAGTAAGTATTTTTTTGGTGTCTGCCGAGCAAATGCAATGGTGTATAAAAAAGAAGGCATGAAAGGCGTCGGCAGAGGGTATCAGAAGATGAAGCGGGGGAAAGAAATGATACGATTAAATCAACGGATCGTGGCGATATGTGCAATCATCACCTTTGCGGCATTTCCCGCTTTGCCAATACCGGCAAGGTACAGATCCTGCCTTGGGCTATCTGCTAGTTAGATCGTTGCCTGCATGATGAACGGATTATCCAAGAGATACTTACGTGCTTCTTGCCAAGGTCATTATACTTGTTCCGCTTGGAATAGCTGTACCTGTCATCATCGGTCCCATCATATCCACCAGACTCGCGAAGACGCTTGCGCTCCGGGTCCTCATAATGCCCAGACTGTTGAGGCGGGTTGCCCGCGGTGGGCTGGTTTTGGCCATTGATTTGGGAGAAAATGGCAGCGAGGTTAGGCGCAATGCCGGGTTGAGATGGTGGGGCTTGCGGGGCAGTGACCGCCGGCTGCATCTGCTTTTGTGCATTCATAATGGCCAGGATATTTTGGAGATCAATGCCCTGACCTGTTGCAGGCTGAGGAGCTGCAGGGAACTGGGGCATCTGCAATATAGGAGTCTGAGGAGTTGGCTGCGGCTGCGGCTGCGGCTGGCGGAACATGCTGAAAGTCCGTTCAAGATCTGAGACACCCGCGGCCGCCGGTTGGGCCTCGGGGGGAGGGGTTGATTTTGGTTGCTGGGGCGCACTTCGAATAATCTTGAGAAGATTCGAAATATCGAATGGCGCTTGGGCACCTGCTACGGGCGCGGCTGTAGGTGGCGGCTGAGGTTTGACCGCAGCGAAGTATCGGTTTTGACGGGCCTGCAGAGCTTGTTGTGAGCACGCAGTCGGTCGGTTGCGACATGCAAAAATAGAATACGCACCTTGACATGATCCGGAACCTCGCCAAAGGAGACCGCATCAGTTGTGGGGTCTTCATAGTCGGGTTGCGGGGGCTCTTTGGGCGTTGACGGCACGTCCGCAGGCGAAGTATAGAACACCGTCAGGGTGGTTGCCTCACGATGCTCCTGAGCCTTCCTCTCCGCACTTTCTGGAATTTCATTACCACCACGCTTGATGAAGTTCAAATGACGTTCTTCGTTAGACATGTCCTCGAAGTCAATTTCTAGAGGATTGTCAGTGATTTCAATGGCCAACACTCGAGCATCTTCCGTGAGACTTACCGGACGGCAAAAGATATTCGAGCAACTGCTCCTCGCGTATGCCACCTTCTTCGTCTTCTTCCTCGTCGAGATCACGGTGGAGCTTCAGCACGCTACCTTCACCCTTCACATCACCAGCTTCACGCTGCATGTGATCGCCAGGACCGAGCTCCTCATCAGGGTCATGGGTGAAAAGCCGGACTTCAGTAAGCGACTCGTCGGGCTTCCAGGTGACTCGCAACCGGCGTCGAGCCTCCTTACGAAGGCGCTTCTTCCGTTCTTCTTCCGTCTCGGGCGACTTAGGTTCGGACGGCTGAGCAGGAGTCGTCTCCTTCGGCTTGTTCAGGTCTGCCATGAGGTCCCCGAACGAGAACGTTGGTCGCGGAAGTGCAGGCTGGGGTTCTTTCCTTTCCGGGAGATTGCTGCTTGGAATTCATTAGCCACTCGGTCGTGTCACCAGTGTCATCTCATGCAATCATCTTACCTGGTCTTCGCCGCTGCAGCCGCTGCTCGCTCAGCATTGGATGTTCCCGGTCGTTTCGAGGCCGACGAAAGACTCCCAAACAGATTGGTAGGCTTCGGCGCTACAATATTAGTCTTAGGACGAGAGGGCTGCGCTGCTGCCGCTGCCTTGTTCTCCGGGCCTGCTTCTTGTGGTCGCCGCGCAGGTGCCACAGCGCCAATGGGCTTCGCAGCAACCTTGGAATGAGACGCTACGACTACTCGCTTCGTTGCCGGCTGTCCATTGCTCTCGGCATCGCGAGGTCGTTTAGATCCAGCTAGTTCTGCCTGGGTGCCGTCGGGAGCAGCCATAGCAGTAACAGTGCTTGTTTGTTTACTAGGCGAGCCGTCCTTGGCCGCTGGCTTCGCAGTCTCCTGTTTCCTTCTGGTGGAAGCCGCAGCATTGTCCATGATCTTCTGCGCCAATTCTCTGACAGCTGGGCCACCCTTCTTGACAAATCTGGGTAGCAGCTTGGCAACATTGGTCTTCTGTAGCACATCTTCGTCCATGGTAACAAAGCGCGAAAGCAACTACGAATGGAGATCAGCGTTGTCAAATCATGGGTTAATGAGCGGCATCGCTTACCTTAAGTATATTCACAGTCAATGTCCCGTTGATATCAGCAGCCTGGTGTCGGTCCAGCAAGAACGAATACAGGGCTGCCACGGCTATGGGATGTTCGCCCAATCTGTAAACGTCAGTGATCTATTTTCCTCTGGATTATTGCAAACAGGCTCAAGCAACAAGAATATAGAGTGACAGTATATGCAGCCCCCTCCCCGTCCCACCCCCCCGACTGGTGGAGCCAAGCTGGTGGCCAGCCCATACTCAACGAGTATTGCGGAAGTACCCAGTCTTTATCGGCAGGGACCAATTTCTTTGTTCTCGAAAGGGGGGAGCCTCCCAGTCATGTTTGTTGCCTTGATAAAGGACCAAAGGACTCGACCAGGTGACTCTCCATTCTGAGGGGTGAGCATTATTCACCCTTACTGGCAAACACTCCTTTAATAGATGCCAAAACCCACACTAGGTAGACTACATGGGAAAGGCTCATATTTCGTTTCTGACTTCTAAAGTCACGACGGCAACGATTTGCTAAGTGCGGCAGGGGAAAGAAGCGAAAAAGAAAAAGAAAAAGAAAAAAGGACATACTTCTCGACGATTAGTGGATGGCCCGTTTCCAAAGTCGCACAAACGACCACATCCATGAGACGGCGCTGTAAGACCACATCCTTCTTCAGCTGGGCTGCTTTATCATTATTACCTGTATTCTCGGCCGCCTTCATGGCTTGGGAGCTGTCTTTCCATGCATCCCTTACGGTTTTCACAACGTCTTTGAATGCGACCAGCGCACTCTTGACCTTGTCCACATTAGGCCGTCGATTACGTGGAGACCACACGGCCTTTAGAGCATCATACTTCGCAGCAGCTTCGGGCTCGCTAGGGCGAGAGGCTGGCAGAGGAGACGGCTCCTCGGGTGCCCGATCCTCGATCTCAAGCTCCGAGTCCGAGCTGTCGGTCTCTGATTCCGAAGAGTCAGCTGTCCCGTCCACCTTCTTACTACTTCCCTTGACGGTCGTCTTTTTGGACTGAGAGGTTGGCTGTTTCTTCGTCGCCGACTTCTTTGCCGTTTTACCGCCCTTTGCAGCTGCTAGTGATTGAGTCAGATTGGGACCTAGTTCGTTCAGCAGGGTCTTCAGCAACCGAGGTGCAACACAACATACCATTGAGGGGTAACACAAACTCGTATGCAGATTGCGGTTTGGGGGCAATCGGTTGGCTATGCGCTACGGACTGCCCCATTGCGGGTGGCATTTGCAAGTCTTCCCGATAGAACGGGTAGAGCCTTAATATTGTCAGGAAGCGCGTACAACTGGACAAGGCAGGCGAGATAGACATACTTTGGTTCGTCTGTGCGATCGTATTCAGATGGGTTCAGGTAGAGAAGGTTATTAGGGTGAAGGGCAGCCTGTCGATTAGCAGCAGCTTGCTGTGCAGAGCTGAGGAACTGTGGGTTGATGGTTTGACTAGAGACGGTGGGAGTAGACTGAGTGAACTCAGTGTTGTAACCCATCGGTACGTGCTTGAAATCAGTTAGTACAGCTTTTAAGAGTTCACGGAAGAAGAAAGATTGACATACTAGATTTCCTCCAGCATAGCCAGTAGGTAGTGAGTATTGCGGGACCTGGTGTTGGTGTGGATCGGGTCGAAAATGAGTCGCTTGAGGCTGTGGCTGCGCCGCGGGAGGAGAACGCAGATGAGATTGAGGAAATACATCAGGCACTGGCACGTTCTGAGGAGGATAGTAGGATCGAGGAAATGTGTAAGATGGGAAGTGAGCGCTGTCCGATGTGGGGAGCGGCTGCGTGTCATATGCAAGATGCGCTGAGGAGAATTGCGGTGCTTGACGATATTGCGAAGTCATCCCGATAGGATGTGCCGTTGCCGGTAAGATAGGCTGTGGATGTAACGCAGCTGCTCGCCATGACTGCGGGGTAGTGGAGGAATACAGGCCGTGATTCTGATCTTGAGGGGTCGGCAACGGACTCTGCGGTGGAGGATTCTGACCGAAAACCGGATGATCCCAGCTAATTCCTAGCGGCTGAGGTGATGATTGTTGTTGTGGCGGCTGTGGCTGTAGTTGCGATTGCGATCGCGATTGGGATTGCGACTGCGACTGCGACTGCGACTGCGATTGAGGCTGGTCAGGAGGCTGTTGATGTAATTGCTGTTGTGAAGGATGTGCATGTTGATGCGAAGGATTGGAGTTTGTATACAGCGGTTCGAAGTTGTTCCAGTACTCAGGCGGCGGTAACGAGCCGGGATCTACTGGCGCGCGGTGCAGACCGGGCATGATGTTTTGCGGCGGCGACTGCTCCATTCTTCCGGCTTATCCCCACGCTTTACTTCCTGCTCTATAGCAGTGGCAGCCACAGAAACAACAGCAATGGCCGCCAGTGGAATAAGGTAAGGACAGTGAGGGGTAAGGGAAGAGGGTGGGGAGGGGGGGTAGGTTATGACAGGGTATTAATTGTATGGACTGTTTGTTGCAGTCACAGTGCAGAATGGCTATGCCCCAAAGTGGTTAAGGGTCACATGCATCCACGTGCCGAGAGGTTGCCAAGTTGGGACAAGATCGAATGCCGCTCTTAATGACTGGAGTGGGGGTGAGGACGCAGTCACGATCAGTCTATTGGTCCAAGCTCCTAAAGCAACGGCGGCGCAGCAAATCTGGCCCAGGAGCCCGCTGCAACGAATCAAGGAAGCTGGCCGAGTTTGTCAGCCTGTGCGTTTGCTGATACGTCGGAATTCAGAGGAATAACAGGGAAAGCGGTAACACCCGACCAGAGCGAGGCTCAAGGATAAGGGTACTGTAGTCAGGCAAGACGGGTGGCAACTTTAGGATCTTGTAAATGAATGCGGTGAAAGCAGAACGAATGAAAGGGGGATACCACACCTGAAACCGATCTCACTGATCTCTAGGTTGTTTGATTCGAACAAGAGAGAGAGAGAGAGAGTGTGTGTGTGTGAGAGAGAGAGAGAGAGAGAGCGAGCGAGTGAGCGAGCAAGTGAAAATAGAATGTGATGAGGTAGATGTGCTGTGCTGGTGCTGCCGCCCTGTGCCTGAATTGGCCTTTTCTTCCTCCTTATGTCACGTCCACGTCTCTCTCTCGCGCGCGCGCGCTGTCAAACGACACCACAGCAGAGCAGCAGTTATGTTTTCTTAGAACAGGAAGAGGCTGGATCCAATTCTGGTTTGAATACACCAGCCCAAGTACGTACTGTACTTCGTACTCTCCGAATAAATTCTCTCCTCTTTGCTTTTCTTTGCCTGCCGTCTGTCTTGTCTTTTCCAAAGCAAACGCTTGTGCTTGTTTTGTAGGTAACCTTGTCACTCTTCCTAGTTTTCAAACCTCTTCCCGGACCTTGTCTGCGGAAACAATTCAGCTGGACGGGGGCGAAAACTCCGTCCTGCTCGTACTGCCTTGCCTTTTCTTGTTCTTCTTTCTTCAGCTTCCTTAACTCTTGACTTTAGAAAATGATCAAAAAAGGCGGTATACAAAGAGCCACTCAGAACAACAGTTTGTTGAGCAGCATAGTCATTTGCTTTACGAGGAGGGAAGTGATGGCGATGGAAGGGAATCGGGGTTGGGGGCTGGGGGGAGGTGGAGGGGATGCTTGGGGAGAGAGAAGGAAGGGAAGGAGGAGGGGAGAGGGAGGAAGGAGGATTGGTAGGTAAAGTTGGTGAGGGAGGTGAGCTGCGGTGGTAAGACTGAAAAAGCCGGCGGGCGGCAATTCGGTTGTTGCGTTGTTGGGCGGGCGAGCTCATAATAGGTGGTCAGTCTACGCCCATTCGGCGATAGCACCAATCACGTGAGTCAACCCAAGCCGTTGTCTGGTTTGTCCGGTTTGTCTGGTTTGTCCTTCCGAGCGGACAGCCTGCCAGGTGGAGCGTCTACGTACTGTGAACGTGAACTGTGTACTGTACTCTAGTTCGACCACCGACTGCTTCCCCCGAGCTGGTTCTACATTGCGCAACACCTAACGCTGTCCTTCTCGTCTGGCAAATATCATCTTCTTGTACCCGCTACCTACTGTTACTCTTGTCTTCGATCTTCACAGCCGCTATTCTCATCGCCTACTCCAACTTGTCATGATATTGAGCCAATTCAGGTGATTGTGAAACCGTCCGGGGTGTTGCAGCAAGTCAAGTCGCATAATGGCATCGCATTCCACCTCTCTCCGTGACCGTCAGGTCGGTAGGTTGCAGCCTCCCTTTTCGATCACCACTGCGATCGCACATGTCTAATCTCCCTCAGCTTCCATCCAAAAATTACTAAACTTGAATCACGATACACTTCCCACCGACGAAATTCACCCCGATGGCTCTACCCAGGGCTTGTTCTCAACCCCCGTGTTGAATGAGGACGGGGATCCGATTTGGAAAGTCTTGGTATTCGATAACCTGGGAAGAGATGTGATCAGTAGCGTCCTGCGTGTCAATGATCTTAGGACATGGGGGGTCACAATCCATCTGTACGGGGTCCCCTGCGCGTGGAGGACTTCATACTTGGCAAGACGTTCGACTGACATAGACCACAAGCAACATCAACGCCAATCGCTATCCGATACCCGATGTACCTGTCATTTATCTCGTCGAGCCTACCACTGCCAACATTGAGGCGATCACCAATGACCTCTCCCGCGGTCTCTATTCCCCCGCCTACATAAACTTCCTCTCCTCCGTACCTCGACCCCTGCTGGAAGACTTTGCCTCTCAGATCGCAACTACAGGCACCGCAGAACATGTCGCACAGGTCTTTGACCAGTACCTCAACTTCATCGTTGCGGAGCCAGACCTCTTTAGCCTGGGATTAGGCAACGATGCCTACTGGAAGATTAACAGCGCACAAACAAGCGACGATGACTTGGATGCTATCGTTGATCGGATTGTCAGCGGGCTGTTCAGCGTCACCGTTACGATGGGTAGGCCTTGAAGTTCCGTCCGTAATCGTCTATTGGCTAACGTGTAAATAGGGTCTATTCCCATCATTAGGTGTCCCAAGGGCGGGGCGGCGGAGCTGATAGCTACTAAACTCGATCGCAAGCTCCGCGATCATATCCTCAACTCGAAAGACAATCTTTTCTCCAGCAAAAAGGCTACTCCCGGCGTGCCTTCATCGCGACCGGCCCTAGTCATCGTCGATCGCAACGTGGATTTAGTCCCCATGCTGTCCCACTCTTGGACCTACCAGTCCCTTGTGCAAGATGTTCTGCAGATGCGTCTCAACCGGATCACAGTAGAAACAGCGGACGATACGAATCCAGCAAAGGGTGTAACGAAGCGGGCGTACGACCTGAATAGCAATGACTTCTTCTGGAAGCGCAATGCCGGTGCACCCTTCCCCCAGGTTGCCGAGGATATCGATGCCGAATTGACGCGATACAAAGAGGATGCCAATGACATAACCAAAAAGACCGGAGCCTCTTCTATCGAAGATTTGCAGAACGATACCAGCGCCTCAGCGCAGCACCTCAAGGCAGCCATAACGCTACTACCTGAACTGCGGGAACGGAAAGCCATTCTCGACATGCACATGAACATCGCCACCGCCCTCCTCAAGGGGATCAAAGACCGCCAGCTGGATAACTTCTTTGAGCTCGAAGAGAACATCACTAAACAGTCCAAGACGCAGATCATGGACCTCATCAACGACTCCACAAAGGGCAACAACCCGACGGACAAAATCCGGTTATTCATCATCTGGTTCCTGAGCACGGAGACCGAAGTCTCCCGGGCCGAGATGGGCCAATTCGAAGAAGCCCTCACACGCATGGGTGTGCAGGACGTCAGCCCGTTGTCATACGTTCGCCAAGTTCGCGAGATCACGCGAATGACAATGATGACGACGGCGACGGCGGGCACGGCGCCGCAACAGCAACAATCGTCGAATCTCTTCCGCGGCTTCTCTTCGCTCTCCAACCAGCTGACCGACCGCATCACCTCCGGCGCCCTCGGCGCCAACTTCGACTCCCTCATCTCCGGGGTCAAGAACTTTCTCCCGGCCAACAAGGACCTCACCCTGACCAAAATCACCGAGTCGATTATGGACCCGGCCTCCGCGTCCAGCTCCGCCATCGCCAAGACAGAGAACTATCTGTACTTTGACCCGCGCAGCGCCAACGCTCGCGGCGCCATGCCCCCGGCCTCCGCATCCCGGCATGCGCAGGGCCAGGGTGCTTTCGGCGGTGGTGCTGGACCCGGCACCACAGCGACCTTCGGGCAGCGGCGCCAGGGCTTCAACGAGGCCATCGTCTTCACCGTCGGCGGCGGTAGCATGGACGAGTACGGGAACCTGCAGGACTGGGTCCGTCGGGCGAATGGTCAGCAGGATGGTGGTGGTGCCGGTGGTGCCCGGGGCGCTGGGTCGGGTGCGTTCACTGGGCCCCGCCGCAGGGTGGTCTATGGTAGTACGGATTTGATGAATGCCAATGAGTTCCTGACGGAGTCTCTAGCGAAGCTGGGGCGAGAAGGTTGAGCGGTGACAGGGGCGGAGTTGATCAACTCTTCTATCTTTTACCTTTTCGACGCACGTAGTATTGGTAGTAATTCGACACGCTCTGATGTGACAAAGAGTCAAAAGAATCAAGCGCGTGAGCTGCTATTCAGTATGAAGGCCTATACCTTTACTCCTAGGTTTTATGCTTAAATCATGCGAATGGACACTGCATCGATTGCTCTCTGCTTTGGAGTAGAATAAATAGAATATTAGCACAGAATTAGTCTGCGTGGGCACAAAAAGCAGTTCAGGAATCGAAAAATGAAGATTCCCCCTCGAAGTAGTGAACATCCCGATGCGGTAAATTAGCACGGAGTTCTAGTTATCCACAAATGAGGTTAGAAGGCACCGCGACCCCCTCCTGCTCTAGTTGCATCCACAACAACATTTGTCAAGTTTCAGAAACGGAAGTCAAATGCAGAAAAGTGAGAAGGCGAATAATTAGGGCTACACCGCGTCAGTCGTCGCCCCTTCTATCTCCAACCCCTACCAACAACGACCCCTCCATGTTCTCCGCCTTCCTGAGCCCTGCTTCATGATTATGATCAATCCATCCCCAACTGCCCCAGGCCCAGAAGCAGGATACCCGAGCAGGATTTACAGCACGTCCTTCTCCCGCTTGACGCTCCGCACGGAGATATCGTGCTCCACCGCAATCCCATATCCCATTTCTAGATCCTGCTGTTGCTGTTGCTGACGGTTTTGGTTTGGATCGGCGTAGCAGGTGGTCCCGGTGCTGGTGCCGGGTTTGTTGCCTCTTTGGAGGGAGGTGGACGTGGAAGTTGAGGTGGTGCAGGCCGAATAAGAGAGGTGTTTGCCGTCGCCAAAGTAGGAGAACGAGAGGACCTGCCACAGATTGCGGCGAGAGGAGGTCGAGCTGGCCAGGTTGTTGCTATTGGCGTTGCTATTGCCGGGGCGGTGGTCGAGGGCAACGCCGGCCCAGATGGAGGAGAGGGGCAGGGAGATGGTTACCAGAGTGAGGACGATGGAGGAGAGTTCGGGGACGTTGACTGCGTAGTGGAGAATGGAGAAGAGGGCTATATGTTCGGATGGTTAGTTAGGAAATTGCTTAGGGCAAATTGAACTAGGCCCAAGCTTTCTGAAGGGAAAGAGAGATGTGAACGTACCGGGAACAACGAGCGTTTGGCAGCCCATCACGAAGATCACTTTCATTGGGCCAAAGTCGGCGACCCCCAAGCGTCTGCGCTGGCGGATGGCATAGCCGAGTTTGGCAACAAAGACGGTACAGAAGAAGCAGATGCTGATGGTCAGAGTGATGTTGGCGGCGCTTTGGATCCAGATCAGGGGCGCGCTAGTCACGGCCTGGATAATGGTTTTGCAGTTCTCGACCATCAAGCCAAGGCGAAATCCAGTGGGGACCAGAGCCACGACTATGGACACACCGAGCAGGAGGTGCCGGTAGCGGCGGCGGAGGTTGGCGAAGACGACTTGGACCTGCAGGACGAGCGAGATTTCGATGCTGATGAGAAGGAGGGTGGCCAGCACGACTCCGAGGACCGAATTAGCGTATGTGGATTGGGGCACGCGGGAATAGTCGCTGCCAAAGTAGGCGTAGACGTGCACAAACGGGGAGGTGAAGTACAGGGCCTGGCAGAGAAGCAACCCGATGTTGAGAAGCAGGGCTGAGCAGTTGAGGAGGTAGACACTGGAGCGACGCTTCTCGGGCCGCGTGAGGAGCAGGAGTATCACCAGTAGGACAATGCTGGCTCCAAGCTGGGCACCGTAGTTGATGCAGATGCGAATGCAATACTGGATGAACTGGTCCACAGCTTCCACGGGGACATTGAAGGGAGCGCCGTCCGCAGCGTGGAAGGTGACGTTTTGAGTGAACGGGTCGAATTCTGGACTCATGATGGCGATTCGGTCAATGAATTGCTTGTATCTAGGCCTTAGTATGCTGTTGCTGTCCAATGTAAAAAGTGAAAAGACGAAGTAGCGAGCGTGATTGGGGTTTAGACGTGGTTGTTCCTCTTGGAGAGGAAGACGAAGAGGTCTTCTAAACGGCGATTTGTACACGATCCAGTACATGAGCCCCGTGTTGCTGGATATGGCAACCAGGTCAGGCCCGATGAATGGACAAGCCAGTGATTCATTGCCGGTAATATTGTCCATGCGGTGCAACCCCGAGACAGACAATATGTCTACTGGATCAGGGAGGAAGTATAACAATATAAAAAGTAGAACACTGTAGGCCTCGATTTTGTACAATGCCAATCATCGGTTTGTCCCAGCACACAATGCTAGACAAGGAGGTCTTGACAGCCCTGACAGTTGAGACAAACAATGTCATGGCCAATGTCAAGAACAATGGCAAGCCTAAACAGGTGGACCATGATCCGCGCACGGTGTTTTGACACATGCTACTCACTCTGGCGACTGGGAGTACCACGGCCCCATGACCTCAGTTTTCGGTACATTCTTGATGATACACTGGGAGAGATCTGGAGACGCTTGTGGTTGTACATCGACATCGATGTATTGCTGTGATGGGACCACAATTGAGGCCGACAGTTCCCTAATGGTACGATATTTCAAGCGCGGTCCTATTCCTCAGATCCAAAATGCCAACTCATGGGAGCAATTGCACAGTAACCTTGAGAGACCCTTGAGTCAAGGGTGAGTCAAGGGTGAGTCAAGGGTTATCGAACTCGGAGAATATGCTCTGAACATGTTGGTGATGGGATCTCGACGAAAAGATAGCAGACAGTATGGTATGTAAGTGTTAATTGATATCTGAAGCCCCCACTTGTTTTAGGTGAACATGACTGATATTGCAGCTTTTCCTGGTCGAGAAAGAATAGATTAGGCCATAAAAGATTATAAAGTGCAGTCACAGCTAGTCTCCTGTTCCAAATATCATGTGTGTTGGTAGTTCTGGTAATTCAGGGTGATCAGAGACCTTCGAGGTTGGGAGGTGCTGAATGGAAGCTCCGAAGAAACCGCGGCGCGATGATCGGCCGCCGCTGACCTCAACACCTCCGCCCGCCTCCATCTCCAACTCATTCCCCCCCACCATGCGACTCTGACTATTTCTCATCCCAGCTCCCTCGCCATGGCTGCAGTGCCGCAGAGGACACTCAACTGGCTCTACGGTGTCTTGACGCGGGTGAGAAAGCTTGCAACTTCTTCTAGGCCAATTTAATTATCCGTCACTGACTGCCAACCTACCTTTAGGACCATTACGATCCCAGACTAACCTACCAAGATCCCAACCGGACCTACCACGATGTCGCGAACGCGCTTGCCCAGTATCCATCCATCGCTCCACGAACAGATGTCTACAGTATGTGGGATTCTTCCAGGCTAATGTGACTCTCGTTATGCCCAGGAACTGACCGCTTGTTTGTTTATCTAGCCTACGAAACTGGCTTCTCGGCCCTGCTTCTCCAATTGTCAGGCACGCTCCCCGTGTCGTTTCGCGGCACCGTTTACAAATTTCCCGTGACATTGTGGATACCAAACACTTATCCTCGAGAACCTCCAATCGTCTACGTTACGCCAACCCAAGATATGGCAGTGCGTGCAGGCCAGCACGTAACGCTGGAGGGGATGGTTTACCATCACTACCTGGCACATTGGGCAGAGGCATGGGAGGTCAGTAGTTCTGGGAATCTGCGACGCGCGCACGAATCTGACAAGTTATCACAGAGGTCGTCTCTTGTCGACTTCTTGTTGATCTTGCGAGAGGTTTTCGCAAAGGAGCCGCCAGTGAGATACAAGCAACAGCCACTTGTGCAGCAGCGACCACCACTGTCACCGCAGGTGCAGGCACCTCCTCCTTTGCCACCGCTACCCCCCGAGCTCGAATCATCTCCTAGGCGCTCCGTAGTGACTCAAAGCTCATCCGTCGCGCCTACGCAGCGCCCTACTCAAATGCCTCCTCCGCCTCCTCCAAAGCCCGGCCAGACTCCGGATCCAGAATGCCAGTCACAGCTGTCCTCAACCACAGGACGATACAATTCTCCCCCTCCACTTCCCCCGCTACCACCCAAAGAAAAAGACCTTCGAAAGTTGTCTTTCCAACAGCAATCAAGCATCAACATCCCTGGAGCTCGGTCGTCGCAGTACCCTCCGGAGCAGAGCAGTATCCCTCTGCAGCCGACTACAAGTCAGTACCAGCACCCGCAGCATGCCCCTCCGCCAGCAAGCAAATATCTTCAGGGACAACCATACGCTCAGCCTTTGAGCAACGCACCCATCGTATCACCACAGGACTTTGGTCACATGCCTCATCAGCCCGTCCCAGCCCAAATGCCCCCACGACAGACACCTCTGCCACATTCTGCACACTCTCAGAGGCTGCCCCATCCGGGGCCCACGCAGCCCTTACCCCGATATCAACATCAACAACCCCTACCGGCAGAGCAGCAGCAGCGTCCCAAATCTGAAACGCCCGACCTTCTTACCTCACCCTTCGAGCTCGAGCTCCCCTCTTTCACACCTACCGGGCCCGCACCCCCCATTCCTCCCAATCCAGAAAAGGACGCCCTCCTCCAGGCTGTCTCCAAGACCCTCTCTGAAACCCTGCAGACCAACATTGCACAATCTGAAACGGCAGCGCACTCTCTTCTCTCTCAGTCCCACTCTCTTCACGCTGCCATTGCAACGCTTCAAGGGGAAATCTCTTCTTTGAATACCCTCAATGCGACTCTACAGTCGAATACTTCCATCCTTCAGCATACTCTCCACCGCGCCGATGGAGTCATTGGCGACGCGCAGACTCGCATCTCCTCACTATCGGGGGCGCCCTCGTCCAGCACCAGCGATGCTACCACAGCAGCATCCGGTCTGCCTCCTATTGATGAGGTTCTCGTGGCTCCGACCGTTGTCGGGAAACAGCTCTACGATCTCGTGGCAGAAGAACGTGGCATTCAGCAAGCTATCTATGCTCTTCAGGCGGCCTTAGCCAAGGGAGTTATTGGGGTGGAGACCTGGTCGCGGCACACGCGTGGACTTGCGCGCGAAGCCTTCTTGAAAAGGGCATTGATCCGCAAGATTGGGAAGGGGATGGGGTTGGAAGTTGGAGAGGTTTCCTAAGAAGTGTGGCTTTCCATGTCCGGGCGGACTTTTCTGCTAGGCAATCGAACGTGAAATGTGCGTAGAAGTGAGATGTAAATAGACGTACGATTCTCTATTCGTCTGCAAATGTATATATGACATGAATTCAAAGTGGTGAGGAAGAGACCAATACATCGTCCGATCTAAAATTTCCGCTGGGCTATGAACCAAGCCACCTCAGGTCCCAGTGATATCAAGATTTCATGCCAATTTATGTTGAAGGGTTTATATCCCCGGCCAGCTTACTGATATAACATATGATTTCCGGTTCAATGCTTTTCTCGTATGGTGTTTGATGAGTAACCTAGTCCGTACTGGCCCACTTTTCCAGGACTCTGATTGATCTTCATTTCAGCCTGAATTTCCGGGCCTCCCCGCTTGGATCGAAATTCGGGCTAGCAACTTTTTGGTCTAGCCATTGATCTTACTGTGCTTACTCGAGTACATACGGGGTACTATGCACATACTCTAGCCCTGAACAACTCCCTATTCTTAGCCTGTCCATGCTGATGCAGTTACGTTGACAACGCGGCATTTACTGCGCACCCTAGATCAGCGCAGCGGCAAACAGTGGCAAGATATGACATCAGATGTTAGGAATCTACGCTAAGCAACCAAGGATACTGTCCTGACTCAAACTGACCATGGTCACATTGTATATTTATTGCAAGGAACTGTGTATGGTAGGCGATCGAACTGTTTACTCAATTCGCCACATTGGATAAATGCGTGTCGGCTGATGCCGCAACACAAACCTGAAGACTTGGGAGTCGTACTGACGAGTCCATGCATTTTTGGGGGTCACTATAACTAGCTAGTGTCCCAGTCTTTGCTGTTGAACGGTTATACCCCATTGCTCCATTGCTTGGCGGCGGTTCTCTTCCCTTTGCCCCCTCAACCCACCTCTCCACTGACTATACTTTCTGTTGGGTACTACTCGCACATGTGTACAGGGCTTAGGGAAGTGTAACGTCACTGAAATGTATCAAATTCTAAGGCGAGCTCAGTGGTTGCTTGTGATATTGAATTAGTGACAAGATCACATGATTTTATATATAGCTTACAATATATATTCTCACTTCTTAAGATTAAAGCTAGTTTTTCCACTTGGCCCGGGCGAATCGACAGTCACGTGCTTTGGGTTGGCGTAATGTAACTTGTAAACAGGTTTGACCCTCAATCCTACGTGACCTATGTAAAGTTGAGAAAAAAGTGGTAATTACCCATTGCTAATAGGGCTCATGAAATCCATTTTCCATTCTTGGGAACTCTGTTTCACTGGCTAGCACAAGCGGCAATCCATATCCGCATATCCTCCTGTCAGCAGTGCACGCATGGTCAAATCTCCATGCAGAGCCTCGCTGAGCCATGATTTGTCCAAGTCAATTAATACACAGTAGTATAGATCCCATCTAAGTATATCGTCCACTCACCACAGATTGTCCCAAAGCGACGACGTGAACACGAGACTCAAGAGTTTTCCGCAGTCAGCTTTACGAACTGCTGGTGCTGCTGGTGCTGCCCGAGAGTCAGACACACAGCGGTGTACAGCCGAGCTAAGTTCCCGGAAGCACCAGCTTACTTACTACTTCAGTTAAGTTACCGTACTTCGCCCTTTCCAAGCCACACACGGCTGAAGGCAGGCCGGTTCCATTTCACTGACCGCCAAATACAATCATTCCTCCGTATGCGTGCCTGAATTTGAGGGCTGGAAGTGCACCTGGTGCAGGGTGCAGCAGTAGTAGCAGCAGGTTTCGGAGATGTCCGCGATCTTGCAGGAAATGCATGTACAA